ACCCAGCTGCCCACCACATCCTGAAAATACAGGCCTGATTGCCTTTTCCAAACCCTTAAAAGATCGAATGTTTGACTGAAGATGTCTTCTTTTTACACACAAGTGTGGCTTTTTTTCAATACTGTTTAATAGTGACATTTCTTTGTGGCTTTCCTGGAACTAGGGACTGATTTAAAGCGACAGTTCACCCAAAAATGAAATTTCTGTCATCATTTACTCAGCCTCAGGTCCTTACAAACCTGTATGACTTTTTCTTTTATGGAACACCAAAGGTCAATTTTTTCTTCTCTTGAGCTTTACAAATCATATCATTTTTTTATATATATATATATATATATATATATATATATATATATATAGTATTTGGATCAAATTCCAAATACTTTCTGAAGTATTTTTAAGCACTAAGAAAACAGATAAATATGTAAAAAACTGAGGAAAATACAGATAAAAATATATATATATTGATAAGGGGAGAAAGGAGCAGATTTTAAAGCTGTAAGGACTAAGTTGTTTATTGTGAAAGTTTTCCGAGCGTAACCCGAAGCTATTTAGATCGCTCGTGTCAGATGGCAGTTCATGCGTCTTATGTGTTCTGTAATTTTCCTGCTCAGAGTGACAATGACTAACGTGGATCATCACCTGCTGAGCACGCTTGCATTAACAGGCGTCTCAGAGCCTCAGTGCATCATGGGTAGCAGAGAAATGAGGAAGAAAAAGGGCTTTTGGCAAATGCCACATTAGCATCAGGTGGGTCTGATGGCTGTCTGAGCACAAATGAACAAACATTTAAAAAAAAACAACAGAAGTGAAGCGTGCTGCAGTTTGTTCTTGAAAGGTGAGAGCGAGCAGGTTTATTTCCAGCTCCTGCTGATGTCTCATCTCTGTAGACGATGCAGGGAGCAAAGATGCTGTTTGTGATGTGTCAGATGTCAAAACTATTAATAAAAAAAGCTTTTCCTTTATATACTCCTACTGTTAGTGCTACTAAAACTTAAGCGCAAGTTTCTGTAAATGCTTCTTAGTGGTGAAGTTTGTGCTCAGGCAATTAGCCGTGTTTCTTCAGTATTGCTGTTCTTCACACTTAAGAGTTTCTTATGACTTATGTATCTTCACACTTTTGAGATTTGTTCAAATCCTTAATCAGAAGCATTAAACTTCACTGTTTGTGCTGCAGATGTTGCTGAAATCATGCCACTTTTTTCAGAAGTGATCTGGCTTATGATTTTTGCCTGGCAAGGGAAGTGTAAGAAAGAAAGAAAGAACTGATGAGCGAATGAAAGAAAGAGCGAAAGAAAGAGAAAGAAAGAAAGAAATTAAAAGAGCTAAAAAATGAAAGAGCGAAAGAATAAAATGAAAGAAAGAGTGAAAGAATAAATGAATGAAAGGCAAAAGAACAAATGAAAAATAGAATCTTATCCTAAAAATGAATACTTTTATTCTAATTATTTTAAGTAATACTTTTAATACTCTGATTATGCATTCAATTGATCAAAAGTGACAGAAAGACATTTATAAGACTACAAGATTTTTACTTATTTTTAATATTACTTATAATATTATGAGATTTCTATTTCAAATAAATGCTGTTTCCACAAAAGATGTTAAGCAACAAAAACGGGTTTTCAGCATTTTTAGAGCCATTATTAATAATTGAGCACCAATGATAATTGATTTCTGAAGGATCATGTGACACTGAAGACTGGAGTAATGATGCTGGAAATTCAGCTTTGATCACAGGAATCAATTATATTTTACAATATATTCAAATAGAAAACTGTTATTTTAAATTATAAAAATATTTCACATTTTTTACTGTATTTTTGATCAAATGAATATATCCTTGATGAGCAAAAAAGACATCTTTCTGAAACATTATTAATCCAAACTTTTACTGGTAGTGTATATTCTTCATAATATTTACAAATCAGATGTTTTTATTCATGTTGAGTGTTTGTAGACTCACTGAACAAACATTACACATCAAATCCTGCCAGATTCAAGTAAGAAATCATTAAGAATGGAAACAGAGGAACAATAACGGGGGAAAAAATAGATGGCATGTTTAATTCCAAACACACAGTCCTACATATTTATTTAGAATTAAGGTCATGTCATTTAGCACACCTGCATTTGTAGATTTATGAGCCTTTTATACACACTACAAAGTCAACTAAAAGAAGGAAACCTGTGCTGACTTGTTATTGGGTTGATAGCATCAGCGTTTCCAGATCTGTTAAGCACCACAAACTCTTTGTGTGTCGCTGCATGTGGACATTCTCGTCCGTACGTCAGTCAGATAGATTAACAGCCTGTAGTCTGCTTCAAGCTACTAGAGGTTAAATCCAGCCATCACAGTCCATCAAACCCTTCCAGTCCCTTAACAATTATGGCTTAGCAGCTCTGTAAATGACTTCTATATATTAAAAAAAAAAAACTTAAATATGTCTTTTAATTTCATGTTGATCATTGGCGTTTCTACTTTAGTCTCTAGCCAGCA